ATGATGTAAAAAAGATGATGAGACTCTAGAAATAGTGCATAGAAGAAGAGCAACAAAGATGATATGGGGACTGGAGGCTAAAACATATGAAGAATCGTTGCAGGAACTGTGTATGTCTAGTTTGATGAAAAGAAGGACTAGGGGAGACATGATAGCAGTGTTCCAATATCTCAGGGGTTGCCACAAAGAAGAGGGAGTCAAACTATTCTCCAAAGCACCTGAGGGTAGAACAAGAAGCAATGCATGGAAACTAATCAAGGAGAGAAGCAACTTAGAGCTGAGGACAAATTTCCTAACAGTTAGAACAATTAATCAGTGGAACAACTTGCCTCCGACACTGGAAGCTTTTAAGAAGAGGTTGGATAACCATTTGTCTGAAGCGGTGTAAGGTTTCCTGCCTATGCAGGGGTTCGGGCTAGAAGATATCCCAGGTCCCTTCCAACTCTGTTATTCTATTCTAGTCTAATCATTAACATACCCCAACTATTTTATGATTTTCTACCTTGGATTATGCAGGATGCCACACAGTAAAACTAACCAAAAAGTGTCAAAATGACACCCTCGACATAGAGTAGCTTAATATTTTTAAATTGTAATCAGTGTAATTGGGGAATGATCAGACATATAACAGCAAACTTATTTGAAGAATCCAACTCTTCAATTTACAGAGTAAAACTAAACAAATTTAGAGTTGAACATTATCTCTGATTTTCTGATTTGTGTTATGCTAGGCAGCAATTTAGTGTACTTCCACTACCTGATATTTCCCCCTATGGAATCAGAATGTTTACAAGTACAAATCTCTGATCTGATCGTCCCAGAAATATAACATTGGATTGAAATCAAACTCTTTGTATGATGTTAAAGTTTGGTTCACCGACAAAAGGGCGAATGACAAAACCGCGCCCGACTAAACCGCGTCGCTGACGTCATCAACAGGGAGACAACAGCGCGGAGACAGAAGCGCGCTGTAAAAGTAACCCTAAACCTAAACCTAACCCTTAACCTAACCCTAAACCTAATCCTAACCCTTAACCTAACCCTAAACCTAACCCTAAACCTAATCCTTAACCTAACCCTAACCCTAACCCTAACCCTTAACCTAACCCTAAACCTAACCTTAAGTTAAATCGGCTTTCTTTCGACGTGCTATTGTAAAGCGCCCTTCTTTCTCCGCGCTGGCTGTTGTCGCCGCGTTGATGACATCAGCAACACGGTTTAGTCGGGCGCGGTTTTGACGTTCGCCCTTTTGTCGGGTCACGTTAAAGTTTATGGAACTAAACATTCTAAAATCAAGCATATTTATTTAACATATTACTTGTGCATTATATGTTGCTTAAAAAGCAAAAAAGAACTGTGCTATATCATCCGTCTGTCTTCTAATCATTAAAAGTATGAAATGAAGGCTAAACAGAAAATGCCCTAGGTCAGTTTTAGTATCAAGACTTCCGTTTTACATGCTATATAGAGGAAGGTAGCTGATGCTAAGAGAATTCTCCATAACAAGCCAAAGAGATCTGACTTCCCAACCTCCCGCTTCATTTATTTAAGATACAGATTGTCTTCAACTTACAACCATTCATTTAGTGACAGTTCAAAGTTACAATGGGACTGAAAAGGGGACTTATGACCATTTGTCACACTTACAACTATTGCACCATCTTTGTGATCACATGATCATAATGTGAATGCTTGGCAACTGACCTCTAACAAGCTTGTACTCAATCCAGATAAGACCGAGTGGCTGCTGTGCTTCCCTCCTACTAATTGGCCAAGTGTTCCATCTCTCAGGCTGGGGGGGGCAAACAGTACGCCCCTCAGACAGGGTCCGCAATTTGGGAGTCCTCCTTGTCAGCTGTGCCCCCCCCTGGGGGGGGGGGTCAGGTTCGCCTGGTGCACCAGTTGCATCCCTACCTGAACCGGGAGGCTCTCACAACAGTCACTCGCACCCTTGTGACCTCCA